GTCTCGTACAAAACGCTCGTTCTGGAGACTTCCGCGGCTCACTTTTGGAGGAAGTCTCGTACGAAACACTCATTTTCACTAGCAAATACTACCTTCGAAGCACTACCGAATGATGCAGGTTCCAAAATGAGCCGCGAAATTGGTCTCACGCTGCAGTCCCGGTGAGTTTTCTTTTCGTCTGGGTTCCAAAATGAGCCAGGTTCCAAAATGAGCCGTTTCTAGGTTCCAAAATGAGCCGTGTACCTCGCAAAATGGCGTGGTAGTGTCGGGCTTTTCGTCTCAATTCATTTCTAAACGCATCACAGCAGCAAATTTTTTTGCGAGCCAAAGCCAAATCTGCCAAGCCGAAGCCATTGCCATTGATTTCAAGACCTACCAGGCAAGTTCATGCACCAACAGACTCCTCGAGCTTTTTCAGGCCAAATCCAAGCCAGCCAAGCCAGACGAGTTAGGCCAGCCAAGCCAAGCCCTCTTAAACGTCACCGATTCATCTTCCGCAGAAGTCAAGATATACCACACTAGTGCTTCTCTGATTTGCTGGGTGGTGGCACTGCACCCTCCCCCGAATCCCCTCCATCCGCTTGGACACATGAAGGGAGGCAGGATATTCTTCAAGGACCAATTCTCAAGAGTTGCAGCCAAAAAAAATGAAATAGTGAATTTGTGTCAGAAGAACTTAAACAAGAACGAGACGTCAGCGGAAGAGTATACACAGGAAGGCATTTGTGCATAAAAGTGCACCAAGATTATAGGAAAGACAACCAACGTTTTCAGGAGATCTCTTCCAGTCCTTCTTAAGATTCCTGCAGAAGGTCAAAGTTAAGAAGCATAACACATTTTGAAGATCACTTTGCAAGATCTCTTTGCAACATCAGCAAAACAGATTTCTTCAGGATCCCTAGAGAAGAAGAGCCCTGTGAGCATTTTGACGACCTTTAAGGCCTTCGGACAAGATCCCTTGTCACAAGATCTTGGCAAGGTTTTTGATTCTAGGATGGTGTACCTTCGAGGTTTCATATAAGAAGTATATTCAGATATATAAAGACCTCCGCACAAGATGTCTTGAGACAATCTCCTTGTGCAAGATCTCCTGAGGATAATTGTTGAAGCTCTCTAAAGGATCCTGCACCTGCCACGGCACCTGACCCTCAAGTTCTAAGTGCAGCGCCTGCCTCCAAACCTGACTTGTTTGGTTCACAAAGCGCTGCCTCTGTCAGGAAACCTGCAATGTCTACAAAGTGCTACATTTCCTACGCAATCTGAGCTTTTGCAGGTCCATAAAGCACTAGACAGATTACAGCTGCCACAAAATCCGAAGTTTGTGGTCTACAAAGTGTTGGCCCTGGCACAAAGTCTGAACCACAAAGTGCTTCACCTGCCATGAAATGAACATTTTCCCGGTGCACACAGTCCCATTCCATGAACCCTTACACTACACCGGGGAGAGAGGTTTGGACCCCTTGCACACTTTTCCCAGGGGACGTTCTTGATTGTTATTTGCATATCTATATTTTTGACCCTTTACGCTTGCTTGATGTGGTGTAGAATGGAACTGTCTTGTGTCGAACTTGGACTTGTCGCGGAAGCCACGTTTGCAGCACGTTTTCTCATCGTCGCAAGTCGCAACAGTCGAGCACGACTCTGGTGAGTCAGCTCCAGCACAATTGCTCAGCCCTTGTTACATTCGAGAAGCACGTTTGCAACGTGGCAAGGAGGGCGCAATTGTGTCTATGACTCCTTTGGGGTCAAGCCCCGGTGGTGAAGTCTTTTATGTGTCGTCTGAAGAGTCGGTGACTGAGTCTGAAGAGACTGAAGAGTCTTTTGCATCACACTGGACAGCAAAAGACCCCTAGGTTGGCTGCAAAAGTGGCCAGCAGATTGCAGGCCATCAAGCTGGCATCCATCTTAGTGACCGAATTCTGTGCCCCTGAAGACATCCAACCAGAAGAGTGTGGTCCTGAGGTTTACATTACCAAGGGCCAGTGCCTGGTGGACACTCGACAGTCACGCATCATTGCAGGTGCGAAATTGCAGTTTTTGAAAGGACTGCAGCAATTTGGAAGCCTATGCTAGAGACATTGTGATCAGCTTTTGTTTGTTGCTTAGAGCTTACCTTTTGTCGCCCGTTTCTTACTTGGTCATACTTGGTCACCTATTGCACCCGCTTGCCTTGTCGCCTTGGCTCAAGCTGAAGCCCAAATGGGCCTGCCTTGTCGTTCTCCTTCATTGTAGTGCCTCAGCCGTGAAGGAATACAAGTTCTTTGTGCCATCACAGCTGTTTCAACCAAGGATGGCGGATATCAGTGATGGTATCTGCCGTATTTGCCTCGAATCGCGCGAAGATGAACATGAGTCTCAGGAGGAGTTATCCATCTTCTGTGGGTGAGCCCCTAGTAGCGTTCTTGCTCCTAGTAGCGATGCCCTTTGTTCCTAGTAGCTTCTTGTTCCTAGTAGTAGGGCCAGGAGCCCCTAGTAGCGTCCGAACGCTCCTATGTTTCTCATCGCATTTGCGACGTCCCAAAGTGGAGACCTGGGACGTCCTTTTCAGGAACTTTTCCGCCCTTGCCGGTGTAGATCTGTGGTTCACAGGGATTGCGGACTTCTTAGCAAGCCAAGCTTGGCCGGGAGAATGGAATTTTGCTGAATCAAATGAATGTTTTCAGGGCTTTCCTCATTCATTCGACTTGAAATCGATTTTCTTTACGAGGCTTGGATTCTTGGAGAGCTGCTGGAATGAACCCAGCGAACCTGACTCGCTGCGACTTGGCACCCAACTCTTGGCTCAAGGATTGGCCTATGAATGACGCTGCCCTTGGGCGGTGGCTCCTGCTTCCTTTGCGATTGTTTTGTTCTGCCACTGCTGCCATTTTTGCAGCAAGTAGAAGAGAGGGCAGAAGCTTATTGTTGTGGCCATTCTTTTCGAATGTTGTACTTTAGATTGACTTGGTTTCTTGTTAGCAGGCCCTGACAGGACCTTGCAATGATTCTCCTTTTGACACCCCTTTCCTCCATTGTGGTGAGCTTAATCTCTGCGAATACCAATTTATGTGCTCCTGGTCCAAAGCAGCTACTATAGCCATTGAAGTTGGACATTTTCATGGTAACATATTCACGGGAAATTGTGACAGCTTATTTCGACCAGCATTGGCATTGATATCGTCCAGACAAATCCAAGCCCTTCCCAGCAAGTCTGGGATGCGGCATTTGCAGCAATAGCTGGTTAATCAGTAATTGCCAATGTCGATGAACAACTTCGCAACAGAAGTGTGCCGCATTGCATATTTACCTAAGCAAGCTGTTTGAGCCATCAGACAAGAATTGCCAAGTCAACATAGAGTCTGCCAGGCAGAAAGGGTCCTTGTTCACGGAGTTTGATGCAGCCTTTTTGCTTTCCCCCTTGCCACTGGTACCACTCATGTTGTTTTTTGGTGCTATGCTTCTACCGGTTCACATCCAAGGTGAAGTCTGCTCAATACTTAGTCCACATTCTTTTGCGCAGAAGCCGGTGCAATCTCTTATCAGATCATATTTGTCTGAGTAGCGTCTTGCTACTTGTAGTAATGCCCTTGTTACTAGTAGCTTCTTGTTCCTAGTAGCGATGGCCACCAACCTAATAGCGATGGCCTCCACCTAGTAGCTTCTTTTTCCTAGTAAGATTATATATATATAAATATATATATATATATATGTATATATATATATATTTTTTTTCTGAGGTCACTACCACTACCAGCTGGGTCAAGGCATTAAGCCTTGGCGTATTCACACGATCTTCTATGTGATCGCAATCGTGCAGATGCTTGGCATGCCATTAGTAAGTGCATCGATTTACTGCAATTGTTTTCACTCCTATCCTGTTCCATTTCAAAGATTTGTGGCACGATTGCATGCACATGTAAGCAAACCAGTACTTTGGTTCATATGGTGCCTGCACATGCAACACACATCCAAAAATGGGCTCTTTGCTCGAGCAATCGGTTGGGTGCAGCTCCGTGTTTTGATGAGCCTCTGCTTTTGCTGGTATCAATGCGGTCCTTCTTTTTCATGTCAATACATTTTCCCGGGCATAGGCATACACGCGATCCTGAGAAGTGCTGCCATCCCGAAAGGATACCTTCCAAGCTCTTATTCAATCCATGATTTTTACCGCACAAACTGTGCCACTTCTTTTGGCAAAGCCAATGGACAAGTGTACTGAAGCAAAAAGCACAGGCCATGGGCAGTAAAAGGCTATGGTGGGGTTTCTGCCAGCAATGACAACCCAAGCACCGAAACCGACACTTGCATTCGGAAACACATGCAAAAAAATCTGGGAAGGAGTAGTGACCTTTGAGGTGTTCGAGCCGGTGAAAAGCAAGGCAAGAGTCCACACCGCCAACACATGCTTGGGACACTTCTATTTTCTTAAAAGGTGTCTATTCTGTATATTCTTTTTTGCACACTCACACTCACACGGTCAATTCCTGGCACGGCATGCGGTAGTGGAGGACATGTTCAGACTTTTTTGCATCCATGGAGGTTTGTCTTCTCACGCATGCCGGTACAAGCCATATGTTGTACTCTTTAACGCGCCACAGTGGTGTGTGTGTGTGTGCGTATGTGTCCACTTGGATGGTTTGTAGGTTTTCATTTTTTGGCTCAGGATTATATTGTTCTTTGCCATCGGAGCTGCGTTGGGCGCAATCGTTCGTGCAACCAACATAGTGGAGGTGGTGGATTGGGGAAGGTGAGGTGTGCGTTGTGACGGTTGCTTGCCACATGAGGGGGTCTGATCTTGATTGACCACACAGGCATTTGACCATGAAAGTCCCAGACGGTGGTTGTGTTATGAGTTCCAGCTTCCAGCCTTCCCACTTGCAGGCTCAGTTTCATGAAGCCTGCTTCAACCTGAGCTTCCCATATGAAGTCCCAGAGCGCACGAGTGTGTTGGTTGGACTCACAGTCATGCAAGTCCATGTTCATCAGCTCTGCATCCATTGCAATGTTTGAGGATACTGACCGTGGCTGGTTCTTCCTTGGCGTATGCTTTGAATGCTTCATCATCGGAGTGGCATCCACGATATTCATCATTGTTCAATGGCTGAGGGGAAGGCCCAGTTGGACACCGCTGTTGGTTCGCTGCTTCGGCCACTTTTACCTTCCTGTGACTTTGGAAGGTATCGCCGACTTGCTTGGGCCCTCAAAAACGGCAGACGAGGGAAGCGATCCCAAGATTCTTGGGAAGCGCCTGCAAGGTGACGTTGTTGTGGCCTTGTTGGGTTGTTTTGTCGCTTCTCAGGCCAGACACACGACTCAACGACGATCTGGATTTGGCGCCAATACCACGACGTGGACACTGTCAGCGCGACAGAACCGGACAAGGTCAGCTTCGTGATGATTCAGTGAATCAGTAATTCAATCAGCCCAAGCCTTTTTGGTGCAGGAGTCGAGACTGCATGAGAGATTGCTGCCATGGCTCTGATGACAGTTGCCTTGTGCACCTCAGCAGATTCCTGAACAACTTCGCACTTCCTCTAGGATTAAACTCCGTTTCCGAAAGTACGACCGTTTCATACCGTTTCAGTAACTATGCGCGTTTCAGAAACCTTGTTTCAGCAACCACGGTGCAGAATCTATATGGCGTTTCAGAAACTATATTGCAGAACTCTTTGCGTTTCAGGAACCACGTGTCAGAAACCTTTCAGAAATCACGCTTCAGACACCATGCTTCTGAAACTACAATGCCTGTCAACAACGACAATTGCAACAGTATGTAACTTTTAGACACTTACTGGCTTGGGGATGGGGTTCGGTGGGGAGGGGTTGGGGCCAACCTGATGACGATCTTTGTGATTGCAGCAGTATCTAACTTCGTGCAGACGCTTGTTGGAGAGGGGGTCAGGTGGTGCTGAAAACCATAGAGTTTCCGAAGCATGGTTTCAGAAAACATAGGTAGTTTGCAACATATTCCAAACAGTTCCAAAACATAGGCTGTTTCCGAACCATAGTTTCAGAAACATGTGTCCCGAAGTATGCCTAGTTTCCGAAACATAGACCATGGTTTCAGAAACTGTGATTGACCTTCCTCCAAGGTGTCGTTCTTGACATGCGCCACGTGATTTCGAGAGAGCTCGAAGAGTTGTGATTGGGGAGGTGGTGGTTGATTTTAGCAGTTTTGGCAATCCACCAGCCCACTTGAGGTATTGCTACTTGGTGGGCCCTGATTGCTACTGTATGCCATGCGAGGCTTGCTTCGTGTCATTTTCGGGATTGTTCTGTGCACGAGTTCACATCGAGGGACATTTTGTCCGGTCCATTTTCAGTGTGGAGACTGGGCCACCTGCTTTTGCTAAGGCTTGTTTTGGGTCGTTCGATGCGCAATGCACTCAATGCTGTGAATGTATGAATTGTGGTGATGGCTGCACAGGCAGGGGCCCGTAGACTTGTTGGAAGGTGACTTGCTTCTATAAAGCTGAGAGAGACTTGGAGATAGATGGTAGACACGTATACACATAGCTTGTAGATTCCAGATGAACATGGGTATACTATACAGCTGAGGATGAGAGAATCGTTTTTGGTCACAGAGATGGGTAGACATGAGAGATATGTGAAGATGCATCAGTGAGATGCTTCGCCCCTGTAGACATGCCAAGCTGTGACTGTGGTGGTGGAGAATGTGGAGGAGAGTTCTTCAAGCAAAGCAAAGCAAATCAATTAGCTAGGTATTTTATGTCGAGCTTGTGCAAGATAGAGGCTTTGTGTTTGCTTTGGACCCCGGTTGTTGTTCACCCTCCCAAATACCCGCACTAGCTTGCGGGTGAAAAATTGATCAAATCTTGAAGTACTGACAACTTGAGGGTGACAATGAGGCTTGTTGAGGAAGACACGTTTTTTGATCGGATATCGAGTACCTTTTAAGCAGGTCGTGAACTCGGATCCATTAAAGAGCTCTAAGCCTCAACCTGGAAAGGTCTGAGGAAGAGGATTGAAGCAGCAACTATAACAACAATAGAAGGACTGTGTCAAAACGAATTGGAAAAAAGTGAAGCACTGGGATCTGAAGGCACCCAAGATGCTTCGGCTGCAACTGGAACGCTGCGGCTAAAACTGGAACGCTTTGACACCTTCCCTCATCAAAAGACAATTGCGGTGTGAACAAACAAGATGTACAAGCACTGTTACTGATGCAATGGAAGGTTGTAGCATGTTGCTGGTAGGGGGAGAAGTGGGAGGTGTGCTAGCTTCCCAAGTGCCTTTGTCAGAAAAGCTGAATTGTTGTGCAGGAAAGCTCCATGTGACCACCCAGTGCATCGCAATCCCTATGGTACGCGAATGGACTCATCACAATGACCCTCAATACGTTGTGCCTCCCCACCACATGAAGCCACATGTTCGAATGACAGGTGTGAAACAGTGCCAGTACTCAGTAGCACAGATGGCAGACATGCTGTTTCCTCCAGACTCACTGGATTTCTATGGCCAATTCTACTTTTTGAGCGCCCTTTTTGAATTGTTAGGCTCAGAACAATTGTGCTTCATTTTCTTGGACACTTGTGAGTTTGGCGCTGCTGTGTTTTACTTCTGTGGTTCCAGTACTGCAATGTCTCCATTTAGCATCACTTGCACCAGCAGCAAAATGAGGTGCTTCAGCCATATCCTTAGAGGGCTAGCTAGAAGCATATCATATACATTCATGCACTGCATTTGTGAAACTGCTCTATTTATCTGTGCCAGATGTGTTGCAATCTGGTTGGTGCTTGGCATCCCACCGCACACGATTGCCACTACTTCCCGTTTCTGGTTTCTTTGGCGTGGGCTGCTTGCTTGTGTGATGAGGAGACAATCCTTGCATGGTCGTTGTTATCGGTTGCTTTATGGTCCCTGGCTTATGTTTCCTCTTCCCAGGCAGCTCTTGTTTCAAGACTGACTAAGGCCGCTGCTGTGGCACTGCTTTTCATTGGGATGTTCGTGATGTTTTGGACGATTCTGGTCAACGTGTGGGAAGCTCAGAAGGCCAACGTATGATCACTGGGTGAGTGCAGCACATGGTGCTGGTCATCAATGTGTAGCATACACATTCATATCTTCAAAGAATCACAAGGGACGTTGATTTGCCTCTAGGTCTGTACTTAAGTCGAACTCAGGATCTATGGCTTTTGGCTCAACCAACGCTACGTTAGAGATGTTGTTGCGAACAGGCTGGCGCCGTGCTGTGCGTCAAGTTATGACAATGACATAATGCATCAGGTGGAGAATCCAAGAATACAACCCAAAGTTGGATGACCAGCCACAGGAGGCCTGGACTTTGTAGAGAGTCGACCTTGTGACAACGAGCCTGTTTCCTTTTTGCGCCGAGGAGTTTGAGGAACGCGATCTGGAAGGGCAGCCCGATTCCCTAGCTGAGGCGGCACAGGCTTCCGCAGCGCCTGCTCAAGAGGCCCCGGATTGAACCAACGGAACTGACGTGCGCTGAAGTTCCCAGTGTGGCTGATCGGCAGGTGATGGCCACAACAGTGGGGAGGCCGGAAAAGGAAGGATATGAGGCACCGGAGCCTTCCGTAGATAATGCAAGTGTTGACGAGTTCCCCCAAGGGGAACTTGTTAGTATAGACTTGACAGGGGCATTCCCTGCTACCAGAGTCAGCCGCGTTGACGATTAACCCTATCCCCTTTGGAGGGTTTTCAACTTTTCAGGAGTATGTATTCACCGGCTGCCCAGCAGCCTACTGGTGACCTAGGTTTGCATCAATCCTTGAACTTGGACGTGTCAAAGACTTTGCAGCGACAATGTATCAAAGATGTGAAACTGACGGATTGATGCTAGGGCCGTGATGGCGGCACGCTTGTTTGGGCATGCCTTTCGGGAGCAAAAATGGAGCCAGCATTCCTCAGAATCGAACCTAGTGGCTTTGGCTGGCAAGCGCATGACATCATAGCGCTTAGTTCTTGAGATTCCGGATGACAGGCATGCAAGCTCATGATGCTCGCAATCTACTGCAGTATTTGGAAAGTGACAAAGCCAACCAAAACTACTCGGAGGAGGCACAGCGGCACAGCCTATTGTCCCATCGGTCCCATCGGTATTGGGACTTTACTATCTTGACTTCCTTTGGCCATAGCTGTTTCCGTGCTCGTTTTGGGACGGTCACCCGAGTGCCAACCGCGCTGCGCTTGGACGTGCGTGTCGAGCGCAGGAAAGACGATCGGATTGGTTCAGCAACTTTGTGCGCAGTCTCAGGCTGCGATCGCTGTCGATCGCTGATGCTGGCATTGGCGACAATCATTTTCCGTTTTTACGTAGATGTGCTTCGTTCCTTTGTTAACGAGCCAACTCTGACTAAATTCCCTCTCATCGCCCTTTCAGTTGCGTTTGGACTTTGTGTACTCCAGAAGGTTCAAGAAGTGGGAACCCAAAAGTCGTTTCTCTGAGCAAACAGCGGAGCATGGTTCCAGCGGAGCGTAAGTGGCTGTGGCGAATTGTTTTGTGCCCGATGCCTTTGATGTGACAGGCTTTTGGTCGCTTCGGCAAGAGCCTCAATTCATGGAAGTGCTGACTGACTGAACTGAACTGAACTGAACTGAACTGAACTGAACTGAACTGAACTGAACCTGACCTGACCTGACCTGACCTGACCGAACTGACCTGACCTGACCTGACCTGACCGAACTGACCTGACCTGACCTGACCTGACCTGACCTGACCGACTGACTGAATGACTGACCGAGGGGACGAGTGACCCATGATGATTCAGGATGACTGATGACCCATGATCTCCCGATCGCCTGAGGTGTCACCCAAAGGAGTTCGCCCGTACCTTATGCTTGGAATTGGTGATCTACCTACCACAAATGACCAAGCTCAGGTCGGGGACATCTCGTCCAAGCATTTCCTGGATCACTGCTGCAAGAGCATCATCTTCAGAGTTGGGAAAACACGAGGTTCTTTGCATTTTGGCACTGCTACAAGACATGTTTTCTCCGCAAAGAGAAGAGCCAACATAGACTGCAACATCTTGTCTTCACCTCATCTTAGCTATTCTATTTCTCATCACCATCACCATCACCATCATCACGAAAGGTAGCAGGAGCCACAAAACTTCTCCTTGCTTTGGCTATCAGTTACATTGCGCTTGAGTTTAGCAACGAAGTAAGGCGTGGTGCGTACGAGAGTTTAGCGCAAGCCATACTTGCAGCGGTAGCAATTGGGGCTAAAAGGTTACACAAGTGATTGACCCCTCCATGGGTGATGCCAGGGAGGTGGACCAAATATGGGGGCCCTTGAACATCATTGCTTCAACTTGAAGACGACACTTTTTGGGGGGTGGGTATCTGTGGAGATGATGGAAAAGTTCCAGGGAGCGACGTTACCGGATCAAGGAAATCGACGGGAAAAGTAGTGGACACGAGATCAGTCGAGCAGAGTACATTGGCTGACTGCGATGAAGAGCATTTAGACCGGTGGTTCACGGAAGGAGCGGGAAAGAAGCGATGAGAAGTGTGGGCCCGGGGGCTTCGATGCCAGTTCGCGAAGAAGGGTCTAAAGAAAGTGGCCGGAGAAATCAGTAGGTGGCCGGCCTTGAAGGGGTTTGAATCTGACGAAGGGATTTGAATCTGACGAAGATGAAGAGGCAATTAGTGAAGAGGATGTGGAATCAATGGAGGAGAGGGGTTTAAAGGAAAGAGATGGAACGGAACTGGCTGAAGCTGAAGCGGAAGGAGTCGGGTTTCGTTTTATGAGAGATGAGGAGAAACGCAAGAGGTTGGCGGAGGAGACGGTGAAGAAGAAGAAGAAGAAGAAAAAGAAGAAGAAGAAGAAGAAGGAAAAGCAAGTGGTGAGGGTTCAGAGCCAGCTCCTGCAAAGAAGCCTGGGCACCCTCCAGAAGGAGGTGGAGTAAAGAAGAGTCGCCCCGAGAAAGGTGAAAGGGAGAGCAAGAAAGGCACGGAGACCAACAGCCCCAGATGATTGGCTTTGCGAATGCTTTCCCGTATAGGGAGAAAGCGATTGGGCTTGGAGGTTTTTAGTTCAAGGCAGCAAAGTGCCTCCCCAGTGGCCAGCGGCGCATATGCTGACCGTGATGTTCTGGTCACGCCCTCGACGCGATGGCCGGGCAAGATGAATCACGCAGCAAGCGCGCCCACGTGTCCCCCAAATGCCTTTGCGGCTGTGGAGGTATTGAGGCCTGTTGGCGCCTCAGTCGCCTGACACAAGAACTGTTGCGTTGGTCGCGAACAGTTTCTCATTGAAACAAAACCTTGCCATCGCGGCTTGGCTCCCCATTGCGGCCTGGGACGCACAGTTCTATACGTGAGTTAACCGCTTGGACTGAGGATCTTGAGCAGAAACGTCAAGAATGGGGTAACATTGTCGGCAGAATTCTTCACAGGAAAGCTTGAAACACTTGCCTCGACATGAAGATGTCGCACAAGCTTTCGCAAATGTAGAAGACGTTCGCGGAAGCAAACGTATAGATATGTATAGATTCTAGATATTGACGGATTCTACACACATTCTTGCTTGGTTGAACACGGATACCGCCCAACTTTTCAACATGATTCCGCATTTTCTGCGCGCCAAATGACCCAGTCCTTCACGCAACCTAAGGCCTTCTTTGGATAATTTTGGCAGACGTTGCAAGAAAGAGATATCACCGAGTTTGAAGCTGTCGTCGCCTCGTGGTTGCGTTGTTAGAGTGCAGACGTACCAGTTCATGTCTCGGCCGGAGAAAGGTATGCCGCCTCTGATGGGACTTGTTGGGAAGGAGACGAAAGTGAGCGAAAGTGGTCTGAATATTTTTGGTTGTCAGGTCCCAGTGGTGAAGTGGTGCTGAAGCGGTGGGCTCCTCCAGCTCCAGCTGGTGAAACCTCATCATCATCATCATCACCATCATCGTGGTCCTCGTCGTCGTCGTCGTCGTCGCCGTCGTGGTCACGATCATGTTTTTTATCACCGTGTCGTCATGTTGTCATCATTTGTGATTATTTATCTTCAACGCCAGCTTCATTATATGAGCCTGTTCTTGACGTATGTAGACGAATGTAGATCTTTAATGTTGAAGTCTACATGATGCATCTACAAAACATCCACGGCCTACATCTCTTTGCGGCTTGCAGCCTATGTGCTCTTGGGCCACCCTGTAGTTGGTTTTCAATCCATTTTTAGGTGTGTAAATGCCTTGACTTGCAAAAAGAACGAGGTTCTACACCACTGATGGCAGCGGTACCTGTGTGGCCCAGGCATGCCATGAAGAAACGGTAGATCGCTATGACCATATGCCATTTGCGGGGTTGGAGGACGTTTACCAGGGCCTTGGCTGTGCAACGTTGGCAGATGCTACATCCATCATGGCAGCGGCCCAAGTTCAGCCATTTGCATGCTTGCGCCAAAACACCAAAAACCAAGGAATTGCTTGCTGACGCGCAAGATGAACACCTCAAGCTGGAACAAGTGGAGGCGTTTCATATGAGTGCCATCTATGCCATGGGCATAGCGTAGCCTCAACCAGGTCCCGGACAAGCTACCATAATGAAGGGTTAGGATAAGGCGCCGCGTCCTGCAGGGCTGTGGCCCCATAGAGCGGCCCATTCGGATCGGGGCAATTCTCCACGTCAAGGTTGCTTTTGGGGATGTTTGGTTTATTCCATTCCTTTCCAACAGCGAGAGAAGACAAGAGCAGGAGGAGGTCCGCGCAAAGCATTGTCCTGTGTTTCGCCAGAAGCCATATATTCTCCACGACGCACAGGGTAATGTTTATTTCGTAGAGAGCGGTTCTGGTAACCCAGCGCCGAATGTCTCATGGTCGCATTTTAGAAGTGTACAGATGAAACACGACTGCAACTTAGTGGCTCAGGAAGCGAGCCTCCTTTCTTTGTCATGGTGGCGGAGCCCATGCTATAGTATGGCTCTCGACCACGTTCGTAGGTGGCCTTAAACATCATGGACAAGCATGCGCGCCTGGTTGGATTGGCCACGGAAAGCTCAACTCCATGGACCGCAGATTTGCAGCTTCCATGAAGGAGCAGGGCCACCAGACTTGACGCTGGAGGAGTTGGATGTCTGGGGCCAGATCACCTTGTTAGAGGAACCGGAAAGGCTGAAGCAATGTTCAATCATTCGAGATCTCAAGCTGGAGTCAACAGCATTGTTCCGTGACGCCAGAATTGTTGAAAGATTGGCGGTTTAAGAGGTGATGGTTTCAACGACCTAGAATGGTGGCGAGCGATGAAGGGACTCAAGAGACCTTTTCACCTACTACACCTGGCGGCCAAAGCAAGACACTGTTGGCAAGGGAGTGGAGCAACGCTTGAGTTCATCGACGACCATGGACAGGCAAACATCACAGCGCCGGACCACATGGAGCTAGCAGCAAGATCGAATCCTTGGCGCTGAACAGCGAGGAGGATGCGTGCGAATCTCTTCGCATCATTGCCGCTGCTCTGCCGGTGAGAGAAGCGCAGAGAGAAGATGCGCAAGAGGTGATGGAGACAATGAAGCAGATGGACAGGTTGCAGATGGCAGCTGAGGACACATCAGCTGGACCCAGTTCAAGAGCAGCTGGAGCTGACGCAGTGATGGAAGAAGTTGAATGTGAGACCCCTCTAACAAGGAGGCGACGCCGCCAAAGTTCAGGGCTTGACGAAGTCAGTGACGCCACCATTTGAGTAGCTCGAGTTCATGAAACGGCAGCTTTTGTCTAAAACAACCTGCTGCGAAACCACGATTTCCGAGGCGAAGTGTCACATTTCAGCAGAGTGACCCCTGCGTAAGGAGGACACACACACACACACTCGAGAAATTGTGTAGTGACTCGATTGCAGTTTGCCACACGCCAACCTAGCTAACCATAATCCTGAGAAAGTAGTTTTCTGGAGGTCCAACCAAGGAAAGAGAGAGGCCCAAATCTCAAAGTTCATAACCGACGAACGCGAAGCGACAGGTGACGACGACCGTGCACATCTGCCGAACGCCCTTTACTGGAAATTTGGAGTAAACGCTTGGACAACCGTTCAAATTAGCAGGTACGTCGTGGTGGTTTAGCGTGATATCCGCATGTACTGTGGCCGCTTCATTGGACCATCGCTCACAGCACATGGATGGTCCCCCTGCTAAAAGAAAACAAATTCAAAGGAATCCCTGTGACTCCAAGGGCTTCACACACGCACAAGTACAGAGAAGTGTACAGATGAAACACGACTGCAACATAGTGGCTCAGGAATTGAAAGGAGCGAGCCTCTTTTCTTTGTTGCTCACTCAAATGTATATGAATGTTACATACTATAGATATTCAAGACGCTTCGCGTCACCGCGCACGAACAGCGGAAGTTAGTGAAATGGAAGTAGCCATCTAGGCGCCAGGTTGGGGACAAGTGCTGCGTTGGAGCCATCTTGGGGCCAACTTCGTCTACCATGGAGCTCATAATGGTGGATACAACTTCGGTATTGCCAAAAGCCGCCATCCAAAAATACACCTCCAAAACACTCTCCCCAGTGGCCCTGCAGGCCGAGCAAGAATCAACGCAGCAACCAACCCCAAAACACAAAAACTCCTCCAAAACGCTCCCTCCAGTGGCCCTGCAAGCATGACGTAACGAAAATCATCCAACGATGTACCTCCATAATGCTCTCCCCAGGGGCCCTGCAGCCCAACCATAGCCGCGCGCGCGCGCGCGAAAAGAAAGGCCCCCACCTAGCAAAGCTATTTGCATAGCAGCAGACCTTAGAGCCCCACGCACGCCCTGCCCCGACAAGCGGTGTGGGCGGACAACCGCCAAAACAACTCCCAAAACACAGAAACTCCTCCAAAACGCTCTCCCCAGTGGCCCTGCAAGCACAACGTTACGAAAAATCATACAAAAATGTACCTCCAACACGCTCTCCCCAGTGGCCCTGCAGCTCAACCACAGCCACGCACGCGCGAAAAAAAGGCGCCAGGTTGGGCTGCGTCTGGAGCCATCTTGGGGCCAACTTCGTCTACCTTGGAGCCCATAATGGTGATACAACTTCGGTGTTGCCAAAAGCCATCCAAAAATACACCTCCAAAACGCTCTCCCCAGTGGCCCTGCAGGCCGAGCAAGAATCAATGCAGCAACCACCCCAAAACACAAAAACTCCTCCAAAACGCTCCCTCCAGTGGCCCTGCAAGCATGACGTAACGAAAAAACATCCAAAAATGTACCTCCAAAACGCTCTCCCCAGTGGCCCTGCAGCCCAACCATAGCCGCGCATGCGCGAAAAGAAAGGGCCCCTCCCTAGCAAAGCTATTTGCATAGCAGCAGAGCTTAGAGAGCCCCATAGCACGCCCTGCACCGACAAGCGGTGTGGGCGGATTCATGTGGAACAAACTGCCTTATTCTGTGCCTTGCCGGAAACCGTTTCAGATCGAACTTGCAAAGCACCACGCTGCACTTGGAGACATGTGAACATTCCTGCCGTTGGGGACACTTTCCTCACCTTGAGCATGACTGGGCTCAGGCAAGCTGCGCATCAGGTGAATTCTTCGTTTGGCGAAGAGACGAGGTGCCCCGTCTTGGACGCTCCGCACAAATTGCATACCATCACCTTAAAGACCTTTTGTAGGACGGTTTGCAAATTTGCACCACGGTTTGTGAACTGAGATAGTGTTGCGGGAGGCTTGCCAGTTCGCCCTAGCAAGTTCGGACAGGATGTTTCTGTGGTCTGCAGCCCACGGGCAGGTTGTTTTGGGCTGTGGTCAGCTTGTGGCCCACAGTGTGTCCCAAAATGCGGGCGAGGCCGGGGCGCAGTGTTTTAGTGTGGAAACGAACGGACCGTGGAGTGATGGCCATGAGCTCCATCTCCGTCCGATTTCGTCCCATCTGGTGACGTCAATCCTTCCACCCGCCTTTCTCCGGGTCGTTCTTCAGCGAAGGGTTGCAAAGGGTCGACGCTGAAGGGGCGAACGTTGGGTCGGGAGAGCGACGACATGCGGGAGCGACGACCCCTGGCAGTTGGTGGCAGAACTTCGACAGTTGTGCTGCGCAGCTGGAGACGGGGACTTATCATTTATCTCATGTCACACCTGGAGGTTGTGTTTTTTGCACATTTTTGTAACACCTGGAGATAGTGTTTTGTCACTCCCATTTCTCTGAGACCTTTTTGCCCAACGCTCCGGCTTTATTCGCCTACGCTGAGCGCGCTGCTGTTCTCGGCGGGGCGCAGCTCCTCGTAGTTCTTGAGTCAGAGGACAGCTGTGCAGCTGTGCTCGTGAATGTCTTTTTCTTCCGGGAATCACGTACCTTGTTCTTGAATCCTTTGAATACCCTTTCATTGGGCTTCCCTGGGTCTCTTGAATTTCAACATTGCCACAGGCCGTTCATATTGATCCTGCGGGTTTGACGGGTTGATTGTGACATTGTTTGAATCTGTAGCAGGACCCCGAGCGCAATGCCTGGTTTGCTGAGCGTGGCTTTGTCTCGCCATCTTCCAACGATAAAGCACGCGCCTTGAAAATTCACCAATGTCTTTGCAAAGGGAAGCAGCTTAAGCAAGATTTTGATGAAACGAAGCCTGCGAGGCAAAGTCATTGCCTCCTTCTTTGCAAAGTCCAAGAGTCTACATCAAACGCCTTGGCGAAGACTCGGGTGAGGAGGCCTCATCCGAAGAATCTGTTGTCGGTTCTAGGTCAAGTTTCCCTAAGAATCTAGGAACCCAAAATCATTAGTGCGTGTGCTATCCTGCGGCCCAGTAGCTAGGAGCGTACCAGTTTGTGAGCTCACTCCCTTACTTCATTACCTACTGCGCAGCGGACCCGACCCCAGCAGACCGGAACCCACACGAACGGAGTCAACTTACTTGAGTAAGAGCGGGCAAAACATGTTGTCGTTTGTTTGAGAGTGTTGTCCAGTGGAGGCTGAAGCTGCTATTGCGGCCTACGCGGAGGACTCAATGAAGCCATTTGGATGCCTTATTTTTGTCGTCCTTCAATGAAGCCATTGAATGCCATTGAAGCCTTAATTTTTTGGTGCTGCATTTGCAGGAGCAACGCATGTGGGGTGGAATGGTGTGATCTTTGGTGGTGCCATCGCACTGCTTTAGCGAAAAAATGATTTGTGCTGCCCTAGCATTTGGCACTGCACCATGGCACCATGTGCTTCAATCAGCTCAAGAGTGTCCGTTTTGGGCTCAAGCTGAACAGTTACTTGCACAGATCGGGCTAGAGAAGCTCACTTTTCAAGGCTGCAACATGCTTCGTGTTCAGTTGCGCAACATGCCAACATGCTGACTGAATCCTCTATGACCAGCATTTGCTTTTCCTTGCCAGGACCTCTTGGGGCCTCAGAGCTGCGCGCCTGTTTGACAGTCCCTCAGGTCATGTTCAGCTTTGAAGAGGGTACTGGAAGTACTTTGTGCGCTTGTGGGTTTCCAAGCGAAGTTCTTTGATGTATTTGCAGACTTTTTCTCCAGTGATCTACATTGTACATGTCGAATTAAACAAATAAACCAAACCAACTCATGCAGAGCAAGCCAGCGAACGGATACAGCGCACTTGTGTCTCCCTGCATACCTGCAAGCTGGTCATGTGGTTGGTTCGTTCTCCCTCTCTTTGCTGGAACTTGCTGAGTGTCCTTTATTTCACCACAGTTCATCCTTCTCAGGCCACACTGCTTGCACGCATGTCATGTTCAATTGCGGACAACATTATAACAGGATGCTTTGCTATCAGTATCAGTTTGCAGGTCGTTTCTACTTCTATGCCGCACATTCTTTTCTTCCTTGCAGCTGCTTCACGGTTGATGGAGTTTGCGTGTCTTTGTTTTGTTCTCATTCCTTGAAAAGAGCCAGACCATCTGCCGAAGGTGCTTCTTCTTAAGGTTGAAGTGGTTGAGGCTGCACCTCCAATATGGGGCAGTAATCGTTTTGCGGAATTGCTCTTGTGAGCAAGAAAGAGGATCGGGTTGTAATCCATTCCAACAAGTAAGTGGTGGCAGTAATCGCCATTCCAACAAGTGAGCCAGAGGATGGTGACTTGTTGGAATCACTTGGTGTGCTGATATCATCTCAGCATCCTGCAACGATTCAAGGAACTACCAAAAAGGGTTTCCCACCGTGAACAAGAACGAAACATACCCAGCCCATGCCCTTCTCTCCTTCTCTGGAAGAGATGTGTGAAACCCTGGACAAGGTGAGAGACACGGTTGAGCCTGCGCACTTGATGAATTGGCCCTCGTTCAGTCAGGTCAACCGTCAACCTTGCCACTTACAGCCATCTTCTCGTTTGTCACGAAAGCTAGCGTCAGCTAGCTGGAGTTACTCTTGCTTTAGCAAGTCATTGGCTGGAATAATTCATGTGTAGACCCCCCCCCCCCCCACCCCGCCCGGCGGGTTCAACTTCCCCCGATCAAGGCATCGGAGAGGACAATCCACTAGGTCATTTGGCAACCAGAGACCTTCCATAACAAAAATGTAGAATTGCCCTCTCCAATGCCTCTCGCCACATCCCGTTTCCGAGCCATGCTAGCTTTCGTCACCAACCCCCGGCCACAAGTTTGTGCTCGACATTTTGAACTACTGGTACTGTAGTGGTTGTCTCCGGCATCTATGTGTATTCACTTATATATTCTTTATATGCCTTCTCTTTCTACTGTGAACATGCATATCCCATTTTGCACAATGCATATCCCGTTGCACAAAGAGCTCACTTTTTGCGAGTGTAGACAGCGCCCAGGAACGGTGGGCAGAAATGGGGCTTGCCGTGGATGCACTCTTCTTCATAGTGGCCTTTGCTACACCAGTGGCTGTGTCCATTGGAATGATAAGCAAAGCCGACGATTTGAGCAAAAGCTTCACTTGGCATCCCATTCTGATGTCACTAGCATTTTCCTGCTTCATGGTACTAGGCCGATGGGCTTATGTGACAGACTCAATTGGAGACAAGGCTCAACAACGGCCAGTTCATCGTGCCTTGATGGTGCTCGCCCTTCTGTTTGCAATTGGTGGGTATGTAGCCATCTTCATGGCCCACATAAAGACTCCGACATTCTTCGGCTACGACTTTGCCAAGCATAGCTGGAAGGTGGCACCGCGAGTGATTCATGACTTCCTGGGTTATGGAGTCCTTCTGTTAACCTTGACCCAGGCCTCTATGGGCCTCCAAAAGCTCGCAAAGCTTCAATCAGGTGTGAAGATCTTTACTTTCCATGGGCAGCTAGGAAAGCTGATCCTGCTTTTGGCAGCGATCCAGATCCTGGTGGCCTGTTACCTTTGGATTTGGTCCACTGGCTACAAGGTCCTTGTGGCCGTCCTCGCTGTTGGAGCAGCTCTTTGTGGAACCCTTTTCCCTCACATGGCCCAAGAGCGACAGCTGCTCTCGTCGAGAGCTTAAGACCGACGGATCCGCGGACCTGTTGTGTCAATTGGACAGAGCAAGTGCCGCATGTAGGAGAAAAGGAGTCTTAAATGAGTGTCAGAGCTCTGCGTTGTAACAGCTTGAGCTCATGCCATGGCATTTCAGGCAAATCACCTACTGTACTTGTATATAGTGGATTAGAACGCCCTGCAGCAGCTTGAAACACGGCTCGAGCCGTGGCCCAGTGGAGGGGGGGCTGCAACTTGACGGAAATTCAGGCAACCTGGGAGGAAAGCGTATCAAATTCCCAACCTAGATTTTAGCAGGGAAATTGTTAGCTTCCCGCAGACTCCGGGAATGGCCTTGAAGGCAAGCTCTAAGGCCACAAAAGTCCAGGTCTGAATTGTTGCTCAGGTATTTGAGGAGACTCTGGACCAAGTTCTGAACTCAAAGCAGATCAGACGTACAGCACATTCTTTTTTTTGGTGGTATTGTGTTGGCGTTCCAAAATGCAAGCACATTGGTGCTCAACACCAATATCGCTCGTTTTTATTTTTGCAACTGCAAGCTGAGGAGTCTCATGGCGTCTGCGTCAAAGCTGTGTGCAAAGCATGTGGCATTAGCGCTTGCTTTACTTGGGCCTGCAGCAGCATCACCGCAGGAGCGCCGCAGTGTAATAAGATGTGATACTGGTCAAACTTGGATGTGGCACGTGAGGACAAGCCACCAGCTGGAGTTCAGAGCACAAGCAAGAAGCATCATGGTGTGGCTCAAGGACTTGCAGTTTGGTTCTTAGATTCAGAGAGAGAGAGAGAGAGAGCGCGAGAGATTGCACTGGCGTTTTAGTAGTGCAATGTCTTGTCTTTTCCTACTGGAGTCTAAGACCATTAATAGTGCAACCCTCGTTTAGTCGGAGATTTTTACCTGAGGCCGTCGGACTACCTGCACCATGGGGTGCCTCTGCTCCAGTTTCTAGCGTGGTGCAGGGCCATTTGGTCAGCGCCTCAGGACAACGACACGTTTGTTTTTGGAGAGCAACATCATGCAACAGCAAGGACTCATTGAACAGCTCTCGATGTGATCCAAGAAAAATACATTGAAGGAATGCTCCGGAAGGCTCTGAAAGGCCCCTCTTCTTCACTTCTTGGGACCAAGGCCCCCACAATGCATGCCTCTGGCCAAGCGTCAAGTAGCCTATGGGCTTGTATTGTGGCAGGCGGTCACGAATCTTTTGATTGAAAGTTTAAGTTTCCCTAAAGATCTAGGCACCAAATGATTAGTGCGAGCGCTTCTTCAAAGGAGCTCCCTCCCCGCCCTCAGGCAGGGGGCGGGAGCTTCCTTGAAGAAGCGTCTTCGCTAACCTGCGTCGTTCGCTACCTCTTCTATGTTCGCTACCTAGCTACCTCTGCGGCCTACCCCCCCGGCACTTCTTCAAAAGGTTCCCACTCCTTGTGGCATCATGCTTGAGAGTCTGGCAAAGCCAGGGTTTGGTGTCCAGGATGCTTCCAGGTACAGACAGGTAAAGCGACAGCGCCTTGTAAACAGCAGACATCGTTCTCCATTTTTCATTATATATATGTTTGTTAGTGTCACCGGAACAAGCTGCAGCATGCTTTATCCATCACGTGCAACTTCCAAAATATGAGAGGTCTCCATTCCTAAGATCTCTTATTCTAGCAAACGCAACTAACAGGATGACGTCTCCCTCTATCCTCTGCTTCATACCAACAAAAACCAACCAACCAACTTGAAGGACTATCCTCGAGTTAAAGACTGATATCAGGCGTGTGACAAAATTGCTCGGATCGTCACAAGCACAAAATGGGTCTATATGCGCGAACAACTTCATTGAGGGATATTGAGGGGGGATGATTCATCTCCACTCACTTCGTCGTTGAACCTGGAACCTGCCCAATTTGTGGCAGCATGTGACAACCGTGGACCATCGATTCTTTTGATAAACACGTGGAAAAACTCCGACCAGCCCTGGATGGCTTCCGACCAGAAGCAAGAGCAAACTTGCCAACAAGTACGAGAGAGGGAGAGAGGGAGAGAGGGAGAGAGGGACAGAGAAGCGCTGCAAAAGCAATTGCGCAGGACTAGTGGACGGCTCTGTTACTGTGGTAGCATTGATAGAGTACCATCGAAGAGCTGCAGAGCCGTGTTCAAGCTTTGACAAGAATACTCGTGGTTGAAGAGCACGAAGCATCGAACGTGTGCGCTGCAAGCACAATTCCTTGACGCGGTTCAACACTACCTTTTCTATCCTTTTCTGATCAAAGTGCACATGGTAAATCATGGTAATAGATTTGTTTTTGAATCTTGATTGGCTTGCCTGAACTATGACTTCTCGAAACAGCCGCGGATATATTTGATTACAAGCGGTGGGAAACACGCGTGCTTTGTATAGAAGGAAATGCTTTGTGTTGGCAAAAGACGCACTGACATGACATGATACACTTGGTGATCTTTGAGTCTGGTAGGTGCTGGTGCTGTTGGGCACAACATCCGCCAGAATCGGGAGCCGCGGCGAAGGCAGCCCCGGCGTGCCAACAGGCGCATTCTTTGACAGTCATTGAAGAAGACTCAGGGTTTTGTTACCCAGAATATAATAGTCGAGAGTCAAAACTTTGGTCAGTTTTGATGCTGAGAAGATTGTTTTGTGAAGCAATCTTCATGGCACTTGCACTGACTTGCACGTCTGAAGAAGCGTGGTGGAGCTCATGTGGACCTTGCGCAGTGGATTACAACTTGCTAGAATCAACATGTGCTTGAATAGTGCGCTAGGGGAGATCCTATGGTGAGATTGATTTGAGAGCTCTGAATCTCACATGTCACCAGGCAAGTTTCCCCAGTGGCTGTCGAAACTGAGCCTCCTGTGGAGAATCTTGGCAGCACTTGGATGGTTCTTGGCGGATTGATTGTGAAAAGGACAAGACATGGGGAATCCAAATGTACTAGATTGCCAGCTTGGCACTGCGATCGATGAATTGTCAGCTTTTTTTGAGCTTATCGAGCTATACCTTGGAAGACAGCTTGGGAGATAGGTCCGCCGTGGAAGCATCTCTTTATTATATATATACTCTATTTTTCGCCGGGATTTGTGAAAACGCAACACACACATTTTGCTTCTTAGTGTGGCTAATGACACCCAAGACGCTAGATTGTTCACTGGACACATGCTGAACTGGCTTCTCTTTCTTGTTCTTGAGGGACACGAGATTTCAGGTAGGGAAGCTTAAACTCTATCTTTTGACCTTTCTTTTGTGCGCCTCCAGGTCAGAACCAGAAGTGGCTGGCTGGCAAACTGAAAGCGAGGATGAATCTGTGGAGCATTTGAATCAGATTGGCCCCTGAACTCAAATGGCTGAACAAGAAGATACTAGTAACAAGTGCATCGCTACTAGTAACAAGAAGCTAGGAGTAATATATAATATAAGATACTATTAACAAGCACCATGCAGTCAATTGTACATGGCTGAACTCAATACCTCGCTTTTCATGCGATGACCGTGCCTCTAAGGACGGCAGAATCAGATGCAGTTCCTTCAGCAGGTCATGGGGCACCAGCAAGTCATGGGGCAACAGCAGCCCAATCCTTTTCCTCAAGTGGCTTTCAATCAGCCCGCATCAGCTCCATCTATCAATTCTCAGAACCCAAACTTCCAGCAGTTCTACGATGTGCAGTTCAACCAGCAACAGCAACAGCAGCAAATGATGTATTGGCAACCAGCAGTGCAGCAGCCACAGCAGCCGCCCCGTACTCAGTCAAAACAAGGACTTTGGACACCTAGAAGCAAACATTCCTCGACGAATAACCAATCAATATGAAGGATTTGGTGCTAGAGTTTGGTAGCTGGGGAATATCAAAGTTGGATTTTCCGAGGTTGAACTACAATCAGCAAATGCAGATGCAGATGCAACAGGCTTTCGAGCAGCAGCCAAGGCTGCCATTGGGGCATTTCTTTGCAATATGATGAGCGTCTCCTAAACGGGTTGGGCAAATTTCCTAGCATTGCTCAGATTGTATGTGTGCGATATGAACCTCTTAGATTGAAGGAGATCATGAATGAAGGGTTTGCAGGCACCCACCAACGCCCCAGCAGAGATTTTTTGTGCGTTGCAGCAAGAAGATGGCACCTTCCGAACAGCTGTCAGATGGAATCCTTTCCGGCTTTGTGAGGTTGCCGTTGCAATCCTTCCCCGAAGGGATGATGCTTGTGGTCGTGCCAGTTGTGCAGCATGATTGCATTTCAGAACCGAACCTCCGAACCGGTTCAAAAACCGGAGCTTTTTCGGTTTGTGTCTTTGACTTTGTATGCCTAAACGACCCATTTTGGCCTGACGTGTCCATTCCCTGGTCAGGCCAGGTGCTGAACAGCAACCAGGCTCAGTGTTTTTTTGTGGATGATCTGTGCCAACAACAACCATTTTGCACAATGCAACGAGGATGCTGGTAGTAGTAGCGAGTTGTCAAAGAGACACTTCTTGGTTGAATCATTCTTAAACTTTGTCCTTCAATTAATCTGGAAGAGCTCGGTAGGTGACGTGCAACTACAGCCATCCCAGCCGCAATTTGCAGCTTGATTGCAGAGTTTATGCGTCCTGTTGAAATATTTGTGCAGGTTGGCAGGGTGTTGTCCAGAAGTCAATCTCGTGAAATGGGTGTGCATTAGAATAGGGGGTCCCTCCAACCACTGGTTTTTCGTCTTTCGTTGATTGTCATTTTCCTGGGATCTTTGCGGGGTCTCTGATTTCAAGACACCCGAATCCGGGATTTTGTTTTCTTGTTGTGTGAAGGAGATGGACAGCCGAAGCTCCAGCCAACCACATGTACACCGCGCTCTCTCAGTGTGTCCAACTCAGCGACTCTTGTTCGCCACGGTCCCTTTTGAGCATTAGCGCAGCCAAGAAAACCTATATACTGCAGATCAATGAGGGTTCCCACAAGCTTTACAAGCAGTTCTGCAATGAAGCCGCTATGGAGCTTTCGAAAGAAGCTGAAAACAGTGTGGTAGCTTTCGAGTTTCGCTTCG